GGCCCTTTGCGCGCGCGCCGTGCGCGCCGTGCAGGCAGCCGCTCGCGCTCTCGCGCGCGCAAGCCGCCGGCGGCTCCTCCGCGCTGGAGACTGGCGGCTCGCGCCGCGCCGCGGGCGTGCCGGTCGCGTAGGCGGCGTGGCGCGGCGCGGCGCGCGTTGTTTCGCGCGTTGTTGTTGCTTGTGTGTTGGGCCGGGGCAGCCGGGCAGCCGGGCAGGGCGTTCGGCGACGGGGCGCATATGCGGGCACGAGGCTTGGCGGGGTGTACAGTACCCTTGGTAGTGTTGCTGTGGTGTGGTCGCAAGGAGAGGATGGATGTCCGTTATTTTGCGGGGCATTTTCGACATGTGGGGCACATGCACATATACGACAGTGCACGTGGCAATGTACGGAGGGGCGCTATTGGCGGTGCTGCATTGTCTGGGTGCAGCGGGCGGGACATGTGGCGTACTGTGATAGGTTGCATTATTTTGAGTTTCTCAACAAATTCAATTGCTTGAGAGTTGTATTTTTAATTAAACCACGATGCATATCGCGTATGATAAGAGCGTCCACACTATTTACTGTATAACCACGGGCGCCCGGAGAGAGACGCGGCCTGCCGTGTAGGAGAGACTCATATCGGAAAGAGAGACATGGCTGTGTTGGGACAGGCTCTGAGGCTCTCATCAAACAAGACCTTGGTCGTGTTTACTGTGGGAGGAGCGACGGCGGTGTGAAGTACCGGTGGAGCTATGTACACGTGTAAGATTCGACATGCCGGAAACGCTCCTTCCGAGCGAGTGCGCCGCCCTGAACAGGCTGGTTTTTGCTTTGCCTTGCCCGGTTTTGCCAGGAATACTTTTAAATTCTTAACAAATACCGTTATGCTTCTTAAGGCCTTGCTTTTCTTAAACACATAAATTAAAACGTAGGAGCCACTCATAGCACGCCAAATCACTTGTTTGGGCGGGCAAAGCAAAGCAAACCGCAGCAAAGCAAACCTCAGCAAACGGGGCATGTTAAGACACATGCCCAAAGAAGTGATTGAGGCCGGGCTGCCGGAAACCCCTGCCGGAAACCCTCCTTCTGCCCCCCCTTCTGTCCGCGGGGGCAGCGACAGGCTGTCACCGCGAGCGGGCAGGAGAGAAGGCGTCATGCGACCCGGTCGTAGGTTTTTGATGCACGCCATTTTTGATGCACGCCATTGGGGGAGGGTTCCGCCTCCATTGCGCAATGCGGACGCAGATCGCGCGGCGCCCCGCCGGTTGCCCAAAAATCTCGCTTGCGTGCGGCAAGTACTAGTGCTCTCTCCTTCGCGGCCTCCTCTCTCCTCGCGCCCCGCCTCCCGCCCCGCCCCATTGGCCGCGCAGGGGAGCACCCGCCACGGGAGATTGCTTCCACCG